CCTCCTCCTCCTCTTCCTCCTCGGCATCCTCCTCCTCCTCTTCGCCAGCAACACCAGCATAATCAGATTCAGATTCTTCTTCTCCGTCATTACCATCACCGTCGTCATCAGCATCATCGCTGTCAACAGCATCAACATAGTCACCATGAGCATCGTCATCATTACCATCAGCCTCCTCATCATCATCATCATCATCAGCATCAGCATCAGCATCAGCATCAGCATCATCATCATCATCATCATCATCATCACCATCATCATCATCATGATCATTATCGGCATCATTATCATCATCATCATCATCATCATCATCATCATCATCATCATCATCATCATCATCATCATCGCCGTCGTCATCGTCATCATCATAACCATCATATCACCATTACCATCATATTCGTCATCGTCATCGTCACCAGCATCATCGTCATCACCAGCATCCTCATGATCATCATAATCAGCATCATCCTCGTCAACATCATCATCATCAGCAGCATCACCAGCCTCATCAGCATCATCATCAGCATCACCATCACCATCACCAGCATCATCAGCAACATCATCATCATCAACATAATCAGCACCATCAGCATCGTCATCATCAGCATCATCATCAACAACATCATCATCATTATCATCATCGTCCCCCGTCATCGTCATCGTCATCAGCAGCATCATCGTCATCATCGTCATCATCATCAGCAGCATCAGCATCATCACCAGCGGCATCATCATCGCCATCAGCGTAACCATCATCATCACCATGATCATCATCATCAACATCATCGCCCTCATCAGCAGCCTTATCATTATCATCATCAACAGCATCACCAGTATCAGCATCATCACCAGCATCATCATCAACATCATCGGCATCATCAGACTCGACATCATCATCATCATCCGCATCAGCATCATCGCCATCATCATTTGTCATCATCACAATCAGCATCAGCACCATCATCATCAGCATCAACAACATCATTATCATTATCATCATCATCATCATCATCATCATCATCATCGCCAGCGTCGTCGTCGGCGTCATCATATTCGCCATCATCATCATCATCAGCATCATCATCGACATCATCATCATCATCAGCATCAACATCAACATCATCAGCATCAACATCAATATCATCATCATCGCCGGCGTCGTCGTCATCAGACTCGACATCATCATCAGCATCATCATCGACGTCATCAGACTCGACATCAACATCATCATCATAATCAGCAGCAGCATACTCATCACCGTCATCATTATCAGCATCATCATCACCATCATGATCGTAAACAATCAGCATCAGTATCGACATCATCAGACTCGCTATCATCATCAGCAGCAGCAACACCACCACCATCATCATATCACTTCCGGCACACACTTGTGGGACCGATTACGCAGGAAAAACAACGACAACATAAGCCAATCTTCAAGGGCAACCGCACCTTGAAAATAACAACGACATCTCGGCTAAACCAGTAACCCTCCGCCTACGAAATCCCGACAACGGCCGGAACTCGATAGACTAACCGCGCGGTATATCTGGACAAAAAACTCAAGACAATGAACAAAGCGAAAGGTTTTTATCTATAGACCGTACACGGAAAAAAAACATTTTGCCTGAAAACAAAGGAATTTGTGATGCAGGGGTAACGTATTCAAATATCATAAACATGTGATGTGGAAACTAAAATGTTCGATCATATCCACTCTGCTTTCTTTTCAACGCGCGCGCAGATGGTTTCAAACACGCTCCTTTCTAACGTCCTTCTGCGCGTTCGAATGGTCATCGCGCGAATGGGAATTATAGTGTATGCCTTCGCTCAATGCGACTCTGGCTCGGATCTCAAAACTTACGCTGGTTTGCGCTGTTCGGCTCGTCGCAAAGGCCAAGGAAACTCGAAACACACTCCGCAACTGCGAAACTCAAATCAAGCAATCCGCACAAAACTCCCGAAGGCACCGCGGGCCGCGAGAGAGGCCAGGGGAGGTCCACCTGCCCGTTCAGGGGGCCACGACCCACAACAGAGGCCTTGAGGGGTTCGCCGGCGCGCCCACCGTCGTCGTGCAACCGCCGCGCAAAATTTGACAGCGTTGGGCTGCCCTGAAGGGGTTGAACGGTGCCCACCAACAAAAATCGACAACGAAGTCTTGGATCCGACGGTCACCCCAATCCCGCAGCGACTGCCAGGACTGATATCATCATCAACATCCTCACCATCATCAGCATCATCATCAACAGCATCATCATCATCATCATCATCATCATCATCATCATCATCATCATCATCATCCGCATCATCGTCATCCTCATCCTCCTCCTCATCAGCATCATCATCGTACCAATCAGCATCATAATCATCCTTTTCCTCATCATCATCATCATCATCCTCATCCTCATCCTCATGTTCATCGTCGTCGTCATTACGACCATCTTCGTCAGCATCAACATCAGCAGCATCATCATCCCTGCCCCTCCTGCCCCTCCTCCTTCTCCTCCCTCCTCCTCCCTTCTCCGCCTCCCTCCTCCTGCGCATTCCTCCTCCTCCTCCTCATCCTCCTCCTCCTCCACCTCATCATCATCATCATCATCATCATCATCATCATCATCATCATCAGCAGCAGCAGCAGCAGCAGCAGCATCACCACCACCACCACCATCACCATCATCAGCATCAGCATCATCAGCATCATCAGCATCATCAGCATCATCATCATCTCATCATCAGCATCATCATCAGAATCAGAATCATCATCATCATCATCATCAGCATCAGCATCAGCATGATCATGATCATGATCATCATCATCATCATCATCATCATCATCATCATCATCATCATCATCATCATCATCATCATCATCATCATCATCATCATCATCATCATCATCCCCCCCCCTCCCCCTCCCCCTCCTCCTCCTCCTCCTCCTTCTCCTCCCAGCTCCTCCTCCTCCTCCTCCTCATGTTTTTTCTCCTCCTCCTCCTCATTCTCCTTCCTCTCCTCCTTCTCCTCCTCCTCCTCCGCCTTCTCAACATCCTTCTCTGTCTCCTTCTCCTTGTCCTTCTCATTCTCCATACCCTCAGCCTTATCATGTTCCTTCCTTCTCCTCCTCCTCCTCCCTCCTCATCCTTTTCCTCCTCCTCTCCTCCTTCCACATCCCTCCTTCTCCTCCTCCTCCTCCTCTCTCTCCCTCCTCCTCCTCCTCTTCCTCCTCCTCATCCTCCTCCTCCTCATCCTCCTCCTCCTCTTCCTCATCTTCCTCCTCCTCCTCCCCCTTTTTCCTCCTCCGTTCCTCCAACTCTTCCTCCTCCTCCTCCTCCCCTCCTCCTCCTACTCGTCCTCTTCCTCCTCCTCCTTCTTCCTCCTCTTCCTCCTCCTCCTCCGTTCTCCTCCTCCTCATCATCCTCCACCTCGTCCTCCTCATCCACCTCCTCCCTCCTCTAGCTCCCCCTCATGTTCCCATGTTCCTGGGGGTTGGGATGCTGTGGCCCCCGATAAATTCAATTCTGCCGCATGGACGCACCTGGGAAGGATGACTTCGCGAAGGGACAAACGGATCCGACAATTCCAGGAGCTCATGGATACGCGTGCTCCGTACGACACAACCGACCGATTTGCGTACTGGCGCAAGCGCCTGATGCTGTCGCGTACACTCGTCGAACGTACCGCTGACCTCGATGTGCCCCGCTGCTGTCCACCAGAGTAGAAGACACTTGCATGCTATACTTCCCAGCCGATACTATATCGCCTCTTCTGCGGGTCGTTCAGCACCTCGTAGGCCCTGACGAGATCCTGCAAGTAGGTGTGTATGTGTATGTGTATGTGGATGTGTATGTGTATGTGTGTATGTGTGTATGTGTGTATGTGTGTATGTGTGTATGTGTGTATGTGTGTATGTGTGTATGTGTGTGCGTGTGTGTGTGTGAGAGAGAGTGAGTCAGTGCGTGTGTTTGTTTGTGTGTATGTGTCGGCGTGTGCGTGTGCGTGTGCGTGTGCGTGTGCGTGGGTGCGTGGGTGCGTGGGTGCTTGGGTGCGTGGGTGTGCGTGGGTGTGCGTGCGTGCGTGCGTGCGTGCGTGCGTGCGCGCGTGCGTGCGTGTGTGTGTGTGTGCGTGTGTGCGTGTGTGTGTGTGTGTGTCTGTGTGTGTGTGTCTGTGTGTGTATGTGTGTGTGCGTGTGTGTGTGTATGCGTGTGTGTGCGTGTGCGTGTGCGTGTGCGTGTGTGTGTGTGCGTGTGCGTGTGTGCGTGTGTGTGTGTGTGTGTCGTGTGCGTGTGCGTGTGCGTGTGCGTGTGTTTGTGTGTGAGGTATACACATAGATCTATTGATACAGACAGACATAGAACATAACGATCTGAACCAGTGAGAGACGCATGCAGGGGAGAGAGGTTGGAGGAGTTACAGGCAGGGTTAGGAATTCAGGTAGAAGTCGGAGTTGACGTATAGAGATGGAGGTGGAGGCAGAGGTAGATAGGTATGTAGGTAGATAGAGGGAGAAACAGAGAAAAAGAGAGAAAGGAAATAACAATTTGGGAAGGAGTCAGAGAGAGAGAGAGAGTGAGAGAGAAAGAGAGATGGGATATGGAGACAATGGAGGCCATCATGGGCGGGGCGGAGCGAATCATCCAGATCAAGCTGGGGGCCGTCGGAGACGGGAAGGCCAACTCTCCGCCAGAACGCGACCAGCGAATCCCACGCCACGCTCCGACACCCATACTCAAAGTACCCCTCGACGAGAGCCGATCCACAGCCCGATCGTTGTCCTGGCCAAGAGGGGCGTGCCCGACCTCAAGACACGGGCAGGGGCCGCGGCGCCGCCATCCAGCGCCGCCACCTCCGCGCCGCCGGCCGCCACCGCACCCGCCGCGGCCACCGAGGCGCCGCCGCGGCCACCGAGGCATCGAGCCGCGCCGCCCGCCTCCGCCCAGCACGGCGTGGCTTGGAGGGCACCGGCCCGGAGGGTCGCCGAGGGGGTCGCCCCGTCGCCTGCAGCAGACTCGAGCGCCGCCTCGCACCGCGCAGGCCGTCGTGCACCTCCCTGGCCACCGTGCTGACCACCGCCCCGCTCGGCTCGTGGCCCGGAGGCTGGAATGGAGCGGCATGGCCAGAGGCCGCGGATGCACGGATGGGGAACGGGGGGGTAGTCAGACAAGGGGAGGGGAGGGCGGAAGGAAGGGGAAGGAAGGGGAGGGGGGGGGACTGGCAAGTGGGAGGGGAAGTGGGAGAGGAAGGGGGAAACAGAGAGGGCGAGAGAGGGAGAGAGAGGGGGAGCGAGAGAGAGGAAGAGGTAAAGAGAGAGAGAGGGATGCACATATCAACATGAGTAGCGCCCCGCAGTTGCGGATAAGAGTGAAGGGGCGGCGGGGACGTCTGCAGCCTGCGAGGCTCTGAAGAAGCACGCCGCAGGCGCCAAATTGTTACAAATTATACAACGGGCCCGCCGCACACGCCGATTTTTAGTTAAAGCAATGTTGGTGGGTCGCGGGCCAAGTCGCGGGTGGGTCGCGGGCGGGTCGCGGGCCGGGTCGCGGGTGGGTCGCGGGCAAGCCGTGGGGTGGGTCGCGGGTATGTCGCGCGTGGGTCGCGAGGTGGGTCGCAAGTGGGTCGCGGGCCGGGTCGCAGGGGGGACGACGACTACAAACAACAACAACAACAACAACAACAACAACAACAACAACAACAACAACCACAACAACAACCACAGCAACAACCACAACAACAATAATCACAACAACAGCAGCAACAACACCACCAACAACATCAATAACAAACAACAGCCAGCAACATCAACTAACAACAATCTGCACCGCTGAACCTCACTTCAGCCAAGCGCCCAGGGACAGTGAATGACCGTTCGGCCCCCTCGCTCTGCTTTGTATATATGCATATAGAGAAGATGGTAGGGAGTACGGAAAAGAGAGGTGGGGATGAGGAAACATATGTGAGGGAGACGGAAGGGAAACCATGGAGAAATAAAAAGAGAGAGAGGGGGGACCTTTAGAGAGTGCGAGACCTCCAAACTTACATGTTCTTCCTAAGCGTATGAGGTAGACACAGATTATGCAACGAAGGCAAAACAAATACGTTTTGTAAAGCCTATAAGTCATCCGTCTCCTCCTCAGCGTCGTCGTCTCCATGTTTCTTCCTACTCAGAATCCTCCGCCTCGTCCTCTTGTTGCTGTTGCGGACGGCATTGGGATCCAGAACGCATCCTGCCATATCCTCCTCCTCCTCCCCCTCCTCCTCCTCCTCCTTCTCCTCCTCCTCCTTCTCCTCCTACTCCTCCTCCTCACACTCCTCCGCCTCCTCCTCCTCCTCTTCATCCCTCTCTTCCTCCTCCTCCTCCTCCTCCTCCTCCTCCTCCTCCTCCTCCTCCACCTTCCACCTCCACCTCCTCCTCCTCCTCCTCCTCCTCTTCCTCCTCCTCCTCCTCCTCCTCCTTCTCCTCCTCCTCTCTCTTCTCATCGTTCTTCTCCTTTTCCTCCGTCTCCTCCGTCTCCTCTCCTCTTCCTCTTCCTCCTCCTCCTCCTCCTCCTCCTCCTCCTCCAATTCCAATTCGACCTCATCCACCTCCACTTCCACCTCCTCCTCAATAGCATTACACTCTCTTCATCACCCGCATGTGCTTGCCCCCCTGCCCCTTCTCCTCCCCTTCCACCGGAGAGCACCACATCTCCAAGCTGATGCACTGAACCTCCAGAACTGCTGCCACAAATGAGCTCCCGAGCTGGAGGCAGGCACCCCCATCAGGGAGGCCCGGGACCCTCCCAGACCTCCGGCCGCTCCCGTTTCCTCGATGCGCGGGCCTCGGAGGTCTGGAACACTTCCCCGGGGCCAGCTTTCCGTCCCGAGTCGTTCGGTTGACGGTCCCAAGGTTCGTTCCCGAGCTCGTTCCCTGGGCCTGGACCACTTCCCTAGGGCTGGTCTTCGCCCCGAGCCGTTTTCGGCGAGAGGGCCGACGCGCCGCCACCAGCGCCGCGCCACCGTCGCCTCCGCCGCCGCATCGAGCAGAGACCGAGCCCTCCCGAGAGCGGAGGTCTCAGCCCTCACGAGACCCCAATCTCCCACCTCGGAGGCTCTGGGCCCTCTGGTCGGCCAGGGTGGGTTCGCGCGGCGTCGGCGCGCGCAAAAGATTTTGGCACCGCGTTGATCGTTCAACCTTGAATCGATCGCGGCCCCGATCGTTCAGGGTTGAATTCAGCCGAGTCCGACGGCGTCATCGTGTCCATCGGTGCTTCCGCGTCGCAGGCTTCAACCTTGAACGCCCTCGCCGGCGTCGCTGGCGCGCCAAAGCCGCACGAACCTGCCGTACACGCAAGAGTGACCCTGGGCAAGAATCGCCTTGGGTGCGCGGCCTCAGGCTCGCCATCGCTCGGACGTCCATTCCCTGTGCTTTTTTCGGTTTCGTGCGTGGTTTTTTCGCCAAATGGTCAAGGATGCTCCTCGATGGTCATCGCCGAAGGAAAAAATCCACACGTCCGAGCGATGCCAAGCAGGGGGCCGGCGGGAGGGGCCACACCCGAGCGCGCGAACCAGTGCCGGGGGGGGGGGCCCTTGTGGGCCCGCGCCAACGGTCACCATGGCGAAGGGTCACTCTTACACACAGCCGATCTGGGTCCTCGTCGTCCTCGTCGTCGTCGTCGTCGTCGTCGTCGTCGTCGTCGTCGTCGTCGTCGTCGTCGTCGTCGGGGTCGTCGTCGTCCTCTTCGTCGTCGTCGTCGTCGTCGGCGTCGTCGTCGTCGTCGTCGTCGTCGTCCACGCCAGCGTCGGCGGCGTCGCCCTCCTGGAAGGCCCTCTTCGCCCTCGACCTCTGCGCGTCGGTGGCGCCCGGTGGCTGCTTGTCGGGGTGCAGGGCGCGCGCCCGGCCCCTCGGAGCGCGGGGCGGCGCGGGGTCGGGGGGGGGGGCTCGGCGACGGAGGGGAGGGAAGGGCGAGGAGGGAAGTTAGCATCAGGTCTGGCGTGTCCCCCTACAGGCGGATGTGGGCGAAACATAAGACAGAGTCCAAAAAAGATTCAACGGTGGCCAAAAAAAGTCCAAAAATCGCCCCCGGACTATTTCTGGACTATTTCCGAATATTCCTCCTGTAGTAGGACACGCCCGACTGAAAGCTAGCAGGCAACTCCGGGGGAGGTCTTCGTGAGAACGATGAAGGGCCACTGAGCCCGATTGGGAGGCCACTGGGCTGGAGCAGGCCGGATGAAGCCCAAAATCAAGGCGGACTGGGCCCAGGATGAGGCGGAACGGAACGGGGAGCATGCTGGCTCAGGCTGGTGTTCGATGCGGGAGGTTCACCGGAGGTCAGACGACTTGAGCAGGCAGCTCTGGGGCTCCCCCCCTCGGCCTCGGCGCCCCTCGACCCGAGGGCGCCAGCGACGGAGCCCTCGGGCGCCGACAGGGAGGACGAAGAGACTGGGACGCAGGCGGCCAGGGCCCGGGACAAAGGAAAGCCCGTCCGGGGGCAAGAGAAGTCCGCTCCTCCCCCGCGGAGGTATCCATCGAGGCTGGCCCGCGTCAGCGAGGAGCGCCGGCGGCCCTGGCCGCCGCCTTCCGCGGGGATGCTGGCGGCGTGGGCGGCAGTCGGGGAGGGAGGAGGAGCCGGGAGGGTGGGGGGAGGGGGGGCAGGGTGGGCGTGCGCGGGTGGGTGTGCGGGCGCGATGGGGTGTGGGCGAGAGGGCGGGCGGGTCGGTGGGTGATTGGTCGGATGCGCGGGCAGGGAGGCGGCGGAGGCTGCAGCGTAGCAGCTGCAGCGCTGATCCACCCTCCTGCCTTTTCCCCAAGTGGGCTTGCCTGAGGGGTCTTTACTTGATTAGAGGTTGGTGCCTTGTATTCTTACGTTGCCCGTTGCCCGGAGGTTCCTCAGGTTCCTCAAGTTCCCCAGGTTTCCCGGGTTCCCCCGGTTCCTCGGGTTCCCTGGGTTCCTTGGGTTCCCTGGGTTCCTCGGGTTCCCCGGGTTCCTCGCCCCCGGTTCCTCGTACTCTTAGTGCGCCTGTTCCAAGCCAATGCCAAGCCAATGCCAAGCCAAGCCAAGCAATGCCAAGCAATGCGAAGCTATGGCGAAGCCATGCCAAGCAATGCCAAGGCCAAGCAGTGCCAAGCACTGCGCGTTCCTTTCTAGCGAGCGCTCCGACCTCGTGCCTCGCAGCGCGAGGCACGAGGTCGGAGCGCTCGCTGGAAAGGCCCGGACCCCAAATTTCCGAATTCTGGGGCGCTCCCGGGCGCCTCGGGGGCTCGCGGCGTGCCTTGTCTCGAGGCCTCGGGAGCGTTGTTGGAAATCCATACTCCTCACGCGTCCTAGCGTGGCCCCAAGGAACCGTCCTTGGGTTCCCTTGACATCCTCTTGGGCCGTCTTGGAGGCACTAGGAGCCTACCCAGGAGGCCCGAATCATAAATCATAAATTCCTGCATGATCTATGCACACTCGCATCCTCGGTCTTGAGAGCGTCCATGACGGCCCACGAGGCCCCCAAGAGAGCCTCAAAAGGGACTTGGATGCCCCAGAGAGGAGCCCAAGAGGCCCCCAAGAGGGGGAAATCGAAAGGGCCTTTTTAGGACCATAGTAGCACCCCAAGACGGCCGCTAAGACCCCCCCCAGGCCCCCAAGAGCCCCCCAGGAGGCCCTCAGAGCCCCCCAAGAGGTCCCCGGGAGGCACCTAAAGAGGCCTCCAAGTGGCCACCACAAGGGCCCCAGGGACCTCCAAAAAAAAACCACAGGGCCTCTAAGAAGCCTCTTGTCCACGTCCCATGCACGGGGGCGGGATGGACCGAAGGCCACTAGATCCGTTGCCCCCGTAGCCTAGGTGTTGCCGTGCTGGACACAACAATCAATGATGTTTCTCTGCCCTTTCGAACAAAATCCTGATGGGCTACAGCCCAAACGCGCCGTCCATCCGGAACAGCCAACTTCCAACCAACATCTGCCAACGCCCGCCTCCAAGACGGCCAAGATGGCTTCCAAAACGGCCCAAGACTGTCCAAGATGATCTCCAATCACCCGGGCGACTCCAATGTAGGACCCATGGGGGGCCATCCGGAAGGAAAGCATTCCCGAGGCTCGTCGAGGAACAGAGGGGGTCTGGCTTCCGCGGAAGAAGAAAAGAAATCCTTGGCGAAAGGTTCGGGCACGGGGGGTACCCCTGCCTAAGATTCCGGAAGAGGAGTGAACTCTCAGCCGCGGGGATGCTGGCGAGCGGGCCCCCCGCCCCCAGCGCAACCAGAGGAGGAAAAGCGCGAGAGGCCGGATTGTAAATGCAATGCAGCAGCACTCTAATAGTTGTTGTGCTAGGGAGCCGTACTAATATTACTTGCACGCTACTGTGTGTCCTATTTCCGAAACCGACATTCTAGACTGTCTGCTCATTACTTAATCGCGATTCAATTCTGCTTCCGTACTCCCAAGTCGCGACCTCTCAGTGTTTCCTTATTCCTACGCCACGCATCTACATCTATAATGTTTCCGTAACTTCCTCAATCACAATTCGATTCAACTCGTTGTTGAACTGCAGGACCAAGTGCACTCTAGGAGCAGCTGCGCGCTAACACATGATGGTACCAGCTGTACTCAAATGTTAGGTGTACTCTAGCCGGAGCGGCTCAAAAATCCCAATGACAATGCGCGCGCGGAAAAAAGAATCGAGTCCATGCGCCGCCAAGGGTCCTGAATTGACCAGGTCGCCGCGAAGGTGGATCCCCCGCGGAAGGGAGGAAAGAAAGCTGGCTGGGGGGGTTGGAGAATTGAGGCATGAGTCGCGGGGGCGATGAACTCCAAGAAGCTTCCCAATGGCCCCCGGATAGTTCCAAAAGGATCTGAGAAGCTCTCTGGGGGGTCTCTTGGTTCGTTTGGGGGGCCTGTGGGGTCGGCCAAAAGAAGACTGAAAACCATTGAACATATATCACCTTTTCGGTCTTCAGGGCGCTTAAGACGGCCCCAGAGGCCCCCACGACCAGCGCCAGACGGTCCAACAGGACCTCAAAAGGACCTCAAGACTCAAGACGACCCCAGCGACCCCATCCTGGACCGCCCGGGAGGCGGGCGTTGTGTAGACTATGGTTGGAACGGGTTTTTCCTGGGTGTCGGGCTCTGGACCAGCGTGTCGGGCCGGAGCCCACAGAACCTTCGCAAGAGCCAGAAAGCATTAGACAGTCCGGCACGCCAGCCCCTCCGCAGGATACAAGCGCGGCGGAAATACGTCATAGAAAAATGCACGCGTTTTCCATGATGATCGGATTCTCCCCTCTTCAACCTTCCCAACGTTCAAAACAAGACGGCCCCAGATGGCCCCAAGACCAACCCAAGACGGACCAAGAGGACATGAAGAGGACCGCAAGACCTCAAGACGACCCCCGCGACCCCCTCCTGGACCGTCCTGGAGGCCATCCTGGAAACCATCTTGGCCACCCTGGAGGTGGGTGTTGTGCAAATTCTGGTCGGCTTTCTGGACGTTGCTGGCCCACGACCGCCCTACGACGGCCCCGGACAGCTCCAGGACGGCCCCGGAGGGCCTCTCCAGGATACGATCCGCAGCCCTTTCCGAAACCTCACTCGCGCAGACTGTCAGCCCTTTTCGAAACCTCACTCGCGCTCCAGGACGGCCCCGGAGGGCCTCCCCAGGACACGATTCGCAGCCCTTTTCGAAACCTCGCTCGCGCAGACTGTCAGCCACCAGCCTGTGCCTTGCCTTCCACAGGGACACTGGGCCGCGCCAGACGGCCCAAGAGCGCCCTACGTACGCAGGACGAAAGATTTGCCTCCTGAAATGCAAACAGCGATGAGGAGCTCGCGAGATCACATCGGCGCCGCCGAACGGACGGCGTCTGGACGAGCTGCGTGCAGCAACCAGGAAGCGAGAGACGCATTCATGTGGAGTGGGGCCCGCGCGCGCGGAATGTTGATGGGAGAGCGCTAGGCAGCGCAGGACCCATCTTGGGAAATTGATGACCGAACCGCTCCCCCTGGAGAATCTTAACACGGGCGGGTTCTGGGGTTCGCGGATCCGATTTCCTCCAAATTCCCCGTTGCTGAATAATATAAACCTAACACGGGGTAGAAATCGGATCCACCAAAAAAAAATGAGACGGGACGCGGATACATAATATCTGACATCGGGGTAGGAATCGGATCCGCCGTAAAAAAAGACTGGACGCGGATCCAAAAAATCCGAAATCGGATCCGCGCGGATGAACATCGGATCCACCGCAACATAAACCAAAACCAAGATCGGATCCGCGCGAACTTCATTGAATCCGACGGCGGTTATCTCATACGCGTCTGCCCAAGACTTCAAACCGTCGTTCTGGGCCCACGATGAAAAACTTTCGCCCTGGGGATTAAGACGGCCCAATAAAAGCCCCAAGATGTCCCGAGATAGCCCCAGGAGACCCACAACAAGGCCCAAAAGGCCAGAAAGGAGTCCCTAACACAGCCCCAAGACCAGAGACGGCCCAAGAAGGTCCCACCACAGTGTTCCCCAATGGTTCCTGGACGGCTCGGGTAGCACGCGGTCCGCTAGCGAGCATCACGGTGCGTACAGCCGACGGTCCACCGCACGGGCGATTCCAGAAGGCAGTAGGGCGGCAGTGATTCGACAGAGGCGCCAACGATAATACCAGATGCTAGCAGATGACATCTGTCGCGGTCAGTGCGAAGCGACCAAGACCCAAAGAAGAACCCCCCTACAAGACTCATCTAGCATAAACTGACAGATATTGTTTTCGGTACCTGTGTGGTCGGCGCTACCGTGGATGGAACAACATAGCGCGAGCATATGTCATAAGGTTGGAAGCTCGCCATTCAAAGGCCGCGAGTTCCAAGCTAGGCACAATCGGCAGCAGCCGCCGAACATGTAATCAATGAGCGCGAACTACAAGTGC